CTTCATTTCTTCTGTGGCCCACTGAGTGTTCAGGAGTCTTCTATTTAATTTTCAGACGTTTGCAAACTTTCTGTGATTTCTTTTACAACTGAGTTCAAGTTTTAGTCTGCTGTGATTAGTTACCAGGAATTACTTTGACTCTTTTGTACTTATTTAAGCGGGCTTTTTGAACAAGTATGTGATCTATTTTGAAGAAAGTTTTGTGGTTTGCTCAGAAGAATGAGTATTCTGTTACAAAAAGATAGGATACTCTGTAAATATGTACTAAATCCATTTGTTTGAAGGTATAGTTCAAATCTGATATTTCCTTGTTAATTTTTGTTTAGTTGATCTATTTGTCAAAGTGGATTATTGACGTCAACCGTTCTGACTGTGTTGGCAATCATTTGTTCTTCCATGTCCATTAATATTTGTTTTATGAAGATAAGTGAACCAATATTCACTGTATGCATATTTACACTGTTATCTCTTCTTGTTGAATTGTTCTCATAACTAATATGTAGTGAGCTTCTTTACCTCTTCTAATTACTTTTAGCTTGGATTTAACTTTGAGAATAAAATTGCCACCCCTGCTTGCATGGAATATTGTTTTTCAACCTTTGATTTGTAGTCCGTGAATTTCTATTTGGATTATATGAGACTGACCATCAGGTTTTGTTTTTTGATTTAGTCTGCCAATCTGTTTCAATGGGATGTTGAGACCGTAAACATCGAGAGTTATTACTAAAAGGGCTTGACTTCTTGGTATCATTGCATACTGTCATTGTTGCTGACACCTTTATTTTTCTCTTTTTAACTGTTTTTTTTTTTTTTATGTATTCACTCCATCTGAGCTTTTGTCTTTGCAGGTTTTATTGTCTCCATCTAGAATATTCTAGAGTGTTTTATGAAGTCCTGATTTCGTGTTCATGATTTTTAATATGTTCATTTTAGTCAAATGTCCTTTTTTCTCCAACAATTTTGAAAGACATATTTCAGGTTATGTTATTCTGGGTTGGAAGTTGGTTTTATTTAAGAAAGGGCATTGAAATATGTCACTCCAAGCTCTTCTGGCCTTTCAAGTTTATGATGGAAAGTATGCTGTGATACTGGTTGATTTACCATTTTAAGTGATTTATTGCTTTTCCCTGAAAATTTTTAAGATTTTTGTCTCTGTGCTAGACTTCTGGAATTTTAACTGTGATGTGTCATGGAGAATTTCTTTTTTTCGTTGTAATTATTTGGTGTTTTGTAGGCCTCACTTACCTTTATGTCAAGTTATTTCACCATAATTCGAAATATTTCTACTAGGATTTCTGTAAATATATTTTTCTTTTAACTCCATGAGTGCTATCCAGTCTAACTCCAATAAATCTTAGGTCAATTTTAATATCATCTCTTAGCCATCAGATGAATATTTCTTGTGTTCTCATCATTTTTAAGGTTTCTCTGAGAATGATCAGGTGATTCCATTTACCCTTGATTTCTGATCTGTCATTTGTGCCCTACATAAATTCAACAGAATTCTTTATTTCTAGGATTTCTGTTTGGTATTCTTTTGGTCTATTTATTTGGTAGATTTGTCACTCATGTTTTGAATTGTTTTGGTCAGCACTCCCCCCCCCTTTTTTTTCCTGCATCTCCCATGATGATATTGCTTGATAGTTACAATATTTTTGAATTATATAAACTTTAAGCTGACTGAAAATTTTCAGTTTTTTGTTTTTTCTGCCTCTTTAACAATTTTATACAGCTCAACTATCTGGTGTTTGCTTTCCTCTCTATCAGTGCCTCTTGGGTCTGATTTGGGAGAACTGGCAGTCTTTGGAAGTATTTTTTTGCCTGTTTCTTATGTCTCTATTTTTTTTTTTCTGTGTATGTGTCATGAGATGAGATCAAATAATCTGTTTTTAGTATGTATTGGAGGTCTCTTTAGCCAGGTTCTGTTTCCCAGTTTTGCATTATTGACTTTATTTGTCAAGAGATGCTTTTTTCAACCTGTTTAATTTGAGTTGAGCCCTGTGGCTGTGTTGTAAGGAAAGAAATTCATTGGTTAAAAGAGGATCAACATATCCAGCCATACATCATTTATAAACATTAAACTTACTTTTAATAATTTCATCCTTTTATACATACCTCTACTAGATCACGTTATATTGCTGTTTGTGGTTGGTGCACGATGTGGAGATTAGGCAAGAAAGAAACAGGAAGGGGAAAATGAAGAATATGTTACTGGGAGAAAAAGGAAATAAGAAAAATATCAACAGACAAAAAATAGAAGCTCAGACTCTGTTGGAATTATTTTATAGCTGAGTAAAAGGAAAAGTGTTGAGGGGATTTGAGAGAGATTGAGTCTGATTGGGAGAAGCCATGGAGCTATTTTCCCACTGTGGGCCAAACAATTTGCTGCCTGAAGCTATGAAGGTTGTTACTCCCTTTAAACATATGTCATGGTCGTAAGCTGTGCTCTGGGCATGATCCACTGCAGGTGTCTGTGGAGCCAATTGCCTTAATCAATTTGTTAGAGGAGGAGGCTGAATATTGCAGATGTTGCTGCTGCTTCTCTCCACAGGATTTTCTTGTCTAAAATATTGCCAACATCAACCAGCCCAGGTGTCATTCACCCTCTCTCGGTCCATAATTTCCTATCAGTCTCAGCCTGCCCTGAGGAACTCTGTGCTGCACCAAGACTGGTAGGAAGGACCTCATCATGCTGTCTCTGGCCTTTCCAGTTTCTAGAGGAATAAACTGTAAGTGCCTGCTGTGTTCTGGGTTTAGTGTCACACTCTCTGACCTGGGCGTCAGTGTCTTCCCTTTTACATATCTCTCCTACATCACGCTGCTCTGCATATTTGCAGAGCAGATCCAGGTTTCTCTGCCCTCTTCGGGTCACAGCTAAGTGATGCTGGAGTCACTCTGTGGAAAACCTGTGGCAATCGCTTTATAGCACACTGGCTGACATGAACAGGATTCCTGTTCTTGGTGGGGAGAAATTCATTTCTGCCCTTTCTGTTTTCCTTTTCCCATTATTACTATTATGCATAACTTTAAGCTTTTTAAATTACCCCATAGTCATTGAATATGCTGTTTCATGCTTTCATTCTATCTTCTCTTTGCATTTAAATTTAGAAAATTACTATTGCCAAATCTTCAAGCTCAGTAGTTCTTCACATGCTCATCTGCATGAGACTTAGGAACCAATCAAAGACATCCGTATTTCTATTACAATGGTTTTGACTTTAGTATTTTATTTTTTTATAGATTTTTCATATTTCTGCTTATAATATACATTTTTCTTTATTATTACCTGCTTTTTTCAATAAACCTCCTTATCACAGTAGGCAATCTTAAGTATCCTGTATTATTTGTGGTTCCACAATTTGTATCATATGAGTCCAGTTCTGATGTTTGATTTTTGCCTTCAAGATAAACTAGCCAGTTCACAATTTCTTTGGATTTCTATGAGACTGACAAATTTCTGTAAGTTTTGGTTTGTGTTTAATGTTTGCTGTAACTATGGAGCCATGAAGTTAAAATTTCTCTACTTACGTTGGTTTTATTTTTTCCATTGCCTTTGGAATTTTCTAAGAGCTCTTCCTTAAAGAAATTCTGTATTTGCAACTTGTGGTTTGTGTAAATATCCCCCAAATTGCATGCCATCAAAGAGGTGGCTGAGTCTAGTGTTTGTGATTTCTTTGTTGTCTAGAGCAGTGTGAGTGCTACACCCACCCAGGAGTAAGTAGCCGGCAGACAATATAAGGGAAGGAAGGAGGCATGCTTTCCCCACTTTTTGTCCTTTTTGTTATTGTCCCTTGTGGTCAGCCATGCCACCCTGCCTTAGAGCCAGCTGAGTATGGGTAGAAACTTCCACAAACAGTAAGCTAAATAAACCTTTTCTACCTTCACTTTGGGAGTGTAGTATTTTGTCCCAGCAATGAAAGAAAAAGAAATAAGATGCAACTCTTCCAATTATACATTACTATTCTACTGGGTCCCCACTCATGTGCTATTATCTGTATTAGAGAAAGGATCATGCAATCTCATAATTAGATCTTGATATTTTTATGAACTGTGTTCCAGGGTCATGCTCTTTGAAAATGTTTTTTAGCTCTCTCCATTTTAGGCAACACAAGAAGGACAGAAAAGGCTAAAGTTGGGAACTACCTTACCTCTACACATCTTAAGATCCTCACAAGGTATTTTTACTTGGAAATAAACTTTTTGTATAGAGAATGTCCCAGGCTAATTACAAATGGTTGCTTTTCTCTTTTTCCCACCAGAGGCATGAGCAAATTATTCTTAAACTTCTTCATGAGAATGTGGTGTACAAAACCCAGGCAGTGATAAAAACCTCCCCAGGGATACAACTTTCTGGGAGTTTTCACTGTTAATGCCACTCTACAAAAGAATTAAGCAACTTTTCAAAATTATAATTTATATGTTGCAAACAATCTATAGTTCTATAGGTATCTGGTCCAGGTAAACAGAAATTAAAATGGACTTTATATTTATTTGAATGCTTCTGAAAAGGTCAGGAAGATATTTGCTTGCTACCTTATTTCCCTGATAAGTCCAAAGAAAAGATATTGGTTTAAAATAGCTTCCTATTTTTTGTATGTGCCTGAAAGAAAGAAATAACCATGTCCAGTAATTCTTTGTCAGCAATGTAACCACATGTAGTCATTCATTTCTTGTTATATCTTATAGTTCATTATGGATTGTATACTAAGAAAAAATGATACTGCACAGAAAATAATTTAAGAAACACTGTTAAGTAATGACAGAATCCCTAAAGCTAGTTGTGTCACAACATGAGGAGGAATCTTGGGCGTCATCTTCACCTGAAGACAACACAGTACTTCATGAACAATATCAACACTCTCATCACAATACACTGGTAGAGATGACACCTAGGCATATTCCTGTAGGCATGGGTCAAGTTAGAAAGGGACAAATCTTAGAGTTACCATCTTCAAACAATCCACCAGCTTCCACAAAGTATTGTGACACAGAGAAATTCGTGCAAGTCTAAACTAAAACTTTATTACTGATTTTGAAACCTCAAGCCACAATGCACAATACAGAAGGACAAATTCAGGTGAGAAGTAAAGTAGAGGAGGGATGATCAGAAGCAAGGCTCAGGTTTGGAGGTGGTGAGAGAAAACTCCAGTTTTGCTCATGGTTAGCTGCATGCAAATTCTGGTTGCTATCCATCCTAGCCTCTGAACTTGCAAACATAGGGTAACTGCGTATTGCAATTGTAATCTCTCCACTTTAGATATGCTGGAAAGACAAAATAGTTGAAGTGAATGGGACTGCTGGCTCATACAAATTCAATAAAGAAACATCTCAGGTTCTGGCCTAGGTTTTACCAACTCTCTATCATCTTTCCTTTCCAGAGAAAATAGACAAAAAGAAAAGAGAGATGAAAGGAGGCAGGAGAAAGCAAACCATTACTACATTTCCTAGTTCAACAGGATTCCCTGAAGGTCAGGCCCAGGAATGGGAAAGAGGTGTAGAAAAGACTGGGCAGAAAAGGCTCTTATCTCTTACCAGAGGTTCGTGACAGGCTCCCACAGTAACCACGGTCTGTGGCAGTGGCAGGATTCCTCTCCCAGTTAAAGTAATCCAGTATATCATCATTACTCCATTCCCAGCCATTTGCATCGGGTTCATTTCCCTGTAGAGTAAAGGAGCAGCCAGGTAAAGAAAGTAGCATTTAACCTCTGCTTTTGTGATCTCTTTCTGGAACATCTGACTTCCTTCCCAGCCTCATGGAGTTTAGTCTGCTTTTCCACAGGCTGCTGACAGCCTTCTAATGCAATACTCTCTCTGAAGTCCTCACTCTTTGAGCTATATCAGCCAATAATCACAGGAACTCTGGGTCCACTCAAAATAAGATGTTTCTTGCCCAACATGATTGGTGGACCATTTGTAGCTTCCTATGAGGATCGCAAAAATCTCTGTCTGATAAAGAGCAAATCTTGATATCATTTCTATTTGGAATTCTCATGAAATAATATGTGAAGACTCCATGAGGCTCAGGAAACTGATTACCAAAGCTTCATATGAGAACAGCATAACACTTGAAAATAGGCAGATTAAGTAATCTGCACACTAGGTCCCTGCACAAAACCCAACTCTTCAGGTGGTATCAAGGATTTCCTTTGGTTCCAAATGCAACTCCGAATCTAGGTCTATGGGTTTGGGCATTCTGGCTTGGTAGGTACAGGAGGGTGAACCTGGATGATAGTAACCAAGTGATAGATAACAGAGAGGCAAAGATGAAATCACACCTGTGTGGGATCATGGAGCCCAATCCAAACATAGCTGTAGGTGTTTGAAACGCTTTTGATCAGAGAAGCTACAAAGGACGCTTCAGCTGCACTGAGCACTGACACGAGGTGTCCTGAGGGCCGCTTCTGGCAGGCCAGCTGCAAGGGAAGGAAAGAGAATAAGATGGAGCACGGATCTCAGCAAGGAGTGTCAAGACAAAGGGAGGTCGCTCACTCTCTTTCCCATGACCTTGGATTTTGGAGACCTCTTCCTCTGTGACCCACTTGTCCTTTTTCCTGTGACTCCCCACTTGATCTCTAAGTACTCACATCTGCATTATACCAGGATCTGGGTGTTCTAAACAGGAAATAGCAATAGGAGCCAAAGGCCTTGGCACCTTTGGGACAGTTGCTTCCTGGTGAGCTGACTTTGTCTTCAGACTTTTCTCCTGGAGTGGAGGGAGAGAAAAAGGGATATGCAAAATGCAGAGTGGTAACTGGATGGACAAGTGAACAGTGATGAGGGCTTCCCATGGATATTGTCTAGAATCCTGAATTCCTATCTCCTTTTCCTGTGCTCTCTTGATATTGAAATAGGTCCTTTAAATCGGGAGCATCTATTGCCTTTTACCTTTCTGCCTCATTTAGTTTTACACAACCCTTGTCTGACAGTTCCTACATTGTGTTCTCCAATACCTGCCTTCTGTAAGTGTCATTACTGACCTTTAATGCCTTTCATCTTTAACCCAAGTTCGTAAATTAGGATTCCTGACAAAGTGGCAGGTCATCTGGTTCCATTTATGATTGGCTTCTGGGGAACCCACTACTGTTAACCAGGAAGAAGGATGGTGGATGAATTTTGAGCAGTTTCCTCAGATCAGGTGCAGCTCACCATTGCCACAGGAGACTCTCAGGGTCCTTTTACCTTTTCTGATAGATAAATCTTACCTTGGACTTGAGATAGGAGCACCAGGCTGGAGATCAGCATCCAGGACATGCTGTATGGTGCCATGGGAGGTCGCATGATGTCTGTGGATGAGGACCCTGTCTCTGAAGGAGATGTGGACAGAGAGGGTATCCAGAGACCTCATTGCCTTTCCCCTTCTCCTTTGTCTAATCCTCCAGAAATACACTCATCATCACTGTAGGACTTGCTTTCTATAATTTGAAATGATTGTGGGAATGTCCCCTGCTTTCCCTGAGGGCTCCCAGGACAAGCACTGCTGTGTCAGGGCTTCTGTGTTTCCTGAGGTCAGGGACCCTCCTCACCTGCTTCTGAAATGGGTGAAGTCCAACTCTTGCTAGGCTCTAATCTTCTCACAGTGTTCACTTACCTGTCTTGTCGAACCTGGGATGGTAGCATCAGGAGAGACAGATTTTTATAAGAGGGAAGGGTAATGATATGCATAACAGGTGGATGTAGGTAGGATGGAGTCATACACGGGAATTGGAATAAGTTCAAAGAAATTTCTTCCATTGGAAGGAGATTGTTCCTGGAAAATGCTCAGACTTCTATAGATGCCACTTCCTTCCAGTTAGCATCTCGTGTTTTTCCCTAGTAATAGGTGAATTCTTTTTACTTTTATTTCTTCTTAATCCTGGTCCTGTTCCATGATAGTTGCTGTGAAATTTCATGCTAAAGTTGTAAAAGTGCACAGCCAGTGAAATTCCTCTAGTGTTTCACAAGAACTTACTTCTGTAGGGAAATACTCATATTCCCCTGGACAAATATTTAAAGGCAGAGAAAAGACTAAATCTTAGAGTAGGTGTGATTTTTCACATTTGCTGTTTAAAAAGGGTTGTTAATTCTTTTTCTTAAAGAAATCATAATTAGCAAGCGAATGGTTAGCACAAATGTAAGGATAATCAATAAATAAATGTGTCTTCCCTATCATCTAAAAAATGCATTTTTTCTAATGGATAATGACAAAGTGAGAGAAAAAGAGGCTATGAGAGAACACAAACCTTTAGGGAGATTACAGTTAAATAATGCAGGTCGATGGAAAAGGGTCGATGTAGGAATTACAGAAAATTATAAAGACAATTCCACTTTGCATGTCAATCAGACTCCTGCAGTGAGATGCTCACTATTATTAGGTTATCTATGAGCTCTTTGGTAGGGTGATCATTTGGATATAGATTAAAATCTAATTGGATTATATTATTATTGAAAACATGACCAGCTTTATATGCATATACTGATGAAAATTTTTAAAATTACGTTTAATTTTAAGTTGGCAATTTGGCGTTATTTGAGAAACGTATTGTGTGGTTCTACATTATTCTTTGGTTCATTTTGACAACTCCAGAGAATTTTAATCTGGGAATTCCTAAAGGCTAATTTTCACACTATTATTGTTACAGGGCAGTTTGTGCACAGGTATGAATAAAAAGTATTTATAGTGAGGTCATGCAATTAAAGCCTCATAATTAATACACCCAATACTAAAAGCCAATGCAACTGCCAAATAACCTAATAATATAGTCAATGGCTTCTTTCAGTAATAAGTAAAAAATCCATTTTTTAGAAAATATATATAAAGCAATTAAAAACCCAGAACCATTACTGTAGTGAGCTTAATGAGCATATTTAAAGCTTAAAATTATATCATGCAAATGTGATAGTTAAAATGAATTGTGATGTAGTTTTATTAGATTAAAATAATTATTTGAAAGCAAATGAAAACATCAGTCATATATTCAGAGCGGCATAGGTTCTAAACTGTTGAAAAATTCAGTGACATAGAGAAAAGAAACAATTTTAGATTAAAAGAATATTTAAAAATATGAAATCCAAATCTGGAAGGCAAACTAAGTAAATCTCCTCCAATAAAATTAATCATCTAGGAGTCAGAATTGGGAAAGTATGAATGTGAATGCATATTCGATTATGCAAGAATTTGAAAGATAATTAATTTAATTAGAGAATTTCCATATATTTTGATATTTATGATGATGTACTTAAGGTAATAACTGATACCTGTAGCTTCCAAAGTATTCAAAAAAAGTGTCTGTGTGGAGAGAGGGACAGATGGTTGAGAAAAAACTAAGCAAACATTTAAAAGTGATAGCAATTAATGGCAAGTAGAAGATGAAGGTGTTCACCCTTGCTTTCAATTTTTCTGTGTATTTAAAATTGTTCAAAGAGGACATTATCATCGTTTACAGTTTACAGTCTCTCATTGAATAATACACATATGTAGTTTCCTGCTTGTTCTCATGAATTATAGCAATAGTTTTACGTAGAAACATATGAATATCCACAAGAAGAAATTTTACAAATCTAAATAGAAGATGGGACTATAAACAAATTAAAAATGTTTACAATGTTCTGCTGACAGGCTACCTAATATGTGTAAGTGCATATGGGAAAACAAAGAAACCCAATGGAGTAACCAATGTTTTGTTCCAGACTAGGGAAAAGAAGTCACATTTCCAGAGTTTAAAAAATGTTTGAGTCATCAGGGATCATTGTTCAAAACAACTTGAAGAGTTTGGAGGACGGACTGACTCGGAGTCTTTCATTTATCTAGAAGGAGGTTGGTTCCAGTCATGGTGAAGTTAGTGCCCAGGATTTGCAATCAGGGTGAGAGTCGGGGGTCTCTCAGTCGTTTCTCTCCTCTTTTTCAAGCAAGGATTGGTTTACTCTCCTTTTGAATATACAGCACTATCAGGTATTAAGCCTTTAAACTCAGTTTCTTCCATGAGAGCCAGTTAAAATTCAGGTTTTCAAAAATTAAAATAATGTGACATTTATATAAACCAATACAATATGAATGCAATAATATAAACTACAGTAAGATTATTGTATCCTCAATAATTTAATCTTTTTTTTTTAATATGACAACTCTGTAAAACCCAATACCTAACTAAATTTCAGTGGTTTTTGTTTTGGTTGTTATTGTTCTTTCTGATAATTACTGGGCATTAAGAAATGTGTTCAAGTGCTATATCCAGCTGGTTTGAGTTATTTACAATCAGCTTCTTAGGAAGAGAGGAATTCTCATTTTTTGGAATAACCAAGACTGAATTTTAAGAATATTCCTTTGCCAAAAGATAAGCTATCCCACCTTGCACTTTGTATCTCTCATCTTCTGAGTGAAATATGTTTAGATAAATTTGAGTATACTTAGCTTTAAAGTATATCAGGGATATGATCTTTTTACAAGAGTTCAGCAAGAATTTGATTATCCAAGGATAATCAAATGTGTATACTTACTAGATGATGACTTAGTAGGGCCCACATTTGAAAATAGCCTTGAAATGTATTTCAGATTTATCAGTAAAGCACTCTCTTTGCAGATATATTAACCATATGTCCAGGCTACTATTTCATCCTTTCATCTTATCTTAGCTTTTACAGGAAATGAGATAGGGATAATAGGAGGTTGCATGTACCTTAGAAAATAAGGCAGAGTAACAAAACTTCAAAGTCCCTGAGGCCAGTAAGCAAATTTATCAAAGAATCGGAAAGCTAATGCTGTAGTTACTGGAATTCAGTCAGTCATATATAATCAATGAGCAGTAAGTACTTATGATCTCTGCAGTTATTGTGGGTAATAAAATTTTTATCAGAAACTGTCAGTCTTTATTGGGTTTCAGACTCTCACATTGAACTCAGGAGAGTTCTGTGCAGTGGATCATGGTGGTTATATTTATTGGGCATTTTATAAAGGCTATTTTTATGCTTACTTTTAATTTTTATGTTAGAGAAGTTAGTAATAATATACTTTTAATTTGAGAAAATATTATTATAACTATTACGAATTTTGCTTAAGTAACTTGTTTGTGATAACTCTGCTCATGTGTACGGTATTACCAGAGCTCAGATTTCTTTTGGTAGAAAATAAAAAATAAAAATTAAGATATATTCCCATGCCCAATTGCTCTTCTTTTTATTTTAAAATTATGTTTATTATACCCAAAGCATGTAAAATCATGCATATCATTAAAATCTAGAATTAACAATCATTTTTTTCAATTTTTTTTCTTGGTATCTGGGATAAAACTCATGATCTTGCACTTGCCAGGTAGGCACTTGTACTGCTAAACTAAACCCCCGGCCCTAATTCTTTTGTACCTTAATTTTTTAAAGAAATAAAGAAGCAAAAAAGAAAAAAAATTACAATAGTAGTCCTTCTACACCACTTCTAAGCTCCACTTCTTTCCTTTTCCATTAGGAGTATCCAAATCACTTTTTTTTTTTTTTTTTTGTCTTTTTCTTTTTTATCGGTACCAGGGATCGAACTCACGACTGCCTGCTTGCAAGGCAGGTGCTTATGCCGCTGAGCTAAATCCCCAGCCCCTCCAAATGACTTTTCCAGTTTAAATTTTCAATCATTTATAGCACAGAGATACAAAGTGTATGAAATGTTGTTTAATATTTCAACATACAAATATTTATATACATCTTATGTTTATGTTATACTTTGAACAAGAATTTCAAACTATTACCTAAAATATTATTGTATTATTTAATATTTCAGACATAAACATTTAGATACATACATTTTATTATTAGGTAATACTTTGAAACTTTTTGATTTAATTAAAATTTTCTGTATTTCTCATTTCTTGATTGTAAATATAGTATAATATTCATATAAGCATTACAAAACTATGTATCTTTTTGTCTTCTGGGAGAAATGTACCAAGTTTTATTGATTTTTGAAAAGTGAAAATTTGTCACACTTTAAAAATCTCTGAAATCTGAACACAGTGCTAATTATAGCATCATTTCCTATCTTTATTTTATTTTATTTTATTTTATTTTATTTTATCTTATTTTTGATACTGGGAATTAAACTCATGACCTTGCACTTGCCAGGTAGGAACTTATGCTACTGACTTACATTCTGGCCCTGTATCATCATTTTATAAGGGTAACCAAATTCTATGAGGAACCAAAAAGTAAAGAGTTCAAATTCTATGAGTTATAACATCTCTGATGCAATAACCCTGTCACTGCAGTACAAAGCACCACAGGCAATAAATTAATGTGCATGGCTGCATTATTTTCAAACAATTATGAACACTGAAATACAGATTTCATATTCTTTTTGTATGACAGGATGTATTATTCTGCTTTTCAGTATTTACCCCCCATTTAAGAAATTCTGAAAAGTATATTTGCATGTGGCCATGACAAATCTGACCATAATTTGTTGGTATCTATTACATTGAAAATGAAAATGAAATGAAATTATAACAATAATTCAATGCAATTTGATGACAATTCTGAAAGATAAGAACGTGAGGATCTTGAGAACATTAAACAGCAGGTTTTAATTAATCTTTGCAAACACAAATTGATTTGATTTCAAAGGACATAGATTTTGATCATTTTTTTCTATTTGCAACTGAGAAATTGGTGATGATGAATAAATCC